GGGGGGGGGACGAAAGGGGCTGTTGAAGAGAGTTTTCTTCAGTTTTAACACCGCTACCCATTGCCCCCTCCCCGCTCCTGGACCCGTCAGTGATTACAAGTGACGAATTTGCAAAACACTTAAGATGCTCAGTATTTATTCCAGTAAATGAACGTGTGCGTTAACAAAGCGGGAATTTTTTGAAGAAACTTGTCAAAGCTATTTTTTTCCCAAATGCACGATCACAAAAGTCTCGTTGACAAAGATTGACAAAGGCATTCACATGTGGATCACAGTGATTGTTTCCGGCAAACAGCGCCTGCGTTTTTCTGGTACACGCCGCAGGCTTGGTCATCCCATTTCCCTCGTTCGTCCCAAAGATTCACCACAACGCAGGTAACATTAGCCGCACAGCAGCCATCTGGTTGTGATGAAGCCCAATTTGTAAAAGTGACGGGAGTGTATTCAGAAGCATTATCCTGCGCTGGTATCATCCATCTGTTGTTAATCATACGAACACCAATCCAGTATGGTTTAAACTTCATACCATAAATTTCATCATTGTAAACTCCTTCAAAAAATCAAAATGACTTCAGATGTGTTGCATTTGTGAGAATTGACAAAAGTGCTATGAGCTGCAATTTTTTGACTCTTTTTACAATTTTATTTCGATGTTTTGGTAGCTTAATATGGCTATTAGTTTTCTTCTAGGTAACCTCTGAAAAAGGCAGCCATGCAAAGCAAGCGGCTACTTTTTCACTTCTTACCACTCGCTTCACCTTGGGTTGAGGAGCTGCTTGAGACTGTGTTGGGGGGTTCGACAGCTCAGTTTAAAATCTTTAGCTCGCACGCGCATAGAGAATATCCCTGCGAAATTTCAGCTTTCTACCTTGCCTGGTTCGCGAATCGTTTCCCGCCAAGATATTTTTTCGGGGGCTCGTATGCGGGGTCTAGGCGCGTAAGATCTTAAAATGGGAGGGTGGCACACAGGGTAGGAACATATACCCAGAGCTTCAGCCTCCCAGCTTTCCTGGTTGCTGAGATGAAAGTGGATGACAAAATGCACTTGCTTCTGACCACACACACAGCCTCTCAACAATATGCGTTTTTGCTGGGTGTAGCATCCACAGCGCTGCGCAGCAAAAACGTATGAAAACAGTTTTCTCGCTTTTCTCAAACTTGTCAAACGTGCTAGAAAACTGCATTTGAAATCTTTTTCTCTCAAGTTGGTAGGAGGCATCCTCTTAAAGGCACAGGTTTGTAGCTTTTCTCGTTCCGAGTTGGCAATCTTCAAAACAAAAGTTCCGAACATGAAAGTTAGAAGTGCTTGAAAGTTGACATAACATTCCGGGGTTGCGCTTGGTCGGGAAAAAAACTGGCACAGTTTCAACATCAAAGCCTGCCTGGTTTCAGCATCTAAAGCCTGTAGAAATATAAGGACAGACGAACAGACACACACACACACACATACACACACACACACATCCATACACGCAGATCGTCACAATACGCGCATTGCTGCCTTTTACAGGGCAAAAACGCATAAAAACTTAAATAGAATTTTGGCGCCTCGACATTGTTGTAGGTTTCATATTTAATACAGTTTTATAATGCAAGGTACAAAGCTGCAAATTTGGCTTCCGGTTTTTTATTCGTCATTTATTACAGAGTTAATGATCTAAGACAAGCTTGCATGCTTCATTACGGCAATACCAAGGTGGGTTCATTTCAAAAAAAGGCAAATTTTTTAATTCTCGAACGGAGCAACTCAAGTGGCTTCAGTGTTTTTCGTCATCCGAGCGAGTCAAGAAACTTGTAGACTGTACTGGTTTGAAGCATAAAAGAAGCAGGTGCTGAAAACAACGTACTGCTGAAAAGCGTGATTTTGTTATCTTCCTGGCATCTGCTTGGAAAACTCTGCTTGTCATTCTATAGATTTCGTTCTGCTCATTAGCGATTAAATGTAAACTTACTTCGTATAAACACATCCTGCGCGGCATCTTTGGGTGCGGCAACAGACGCATTCAAATCAGAGCATTTTATATAAGCCTCCCTGTACGACATATGTCCATAAATCTGAATCACAGTTGAGATTTTTTAGAACAAGTGCACTCTAAAAAGCAAACACACTCGAAAATGACGAGAAAAAAATATGCACTGCATGGTAGAGACGTTCAGAAGATTGCCTTCCGGAATATGCAGACTTGTTCATGCAGGAAAAATTGGTAGAAGTAAAGCTGCAGAACCTAGATACAATAAACACCAGAGCACGCCCGCATAGATCCGTACCGGTTAATTTTCTTTTATCGGTTAATTTTCTTTTGAAGTGGATCTTGAGAGAGAAGTACTGGGTGACCTGTAAGAACCAGGTAATGGTTATTCGCTGCAAGAGCAACATGCGCCAAAGACCAGTCTGCCAGCTTCTAATGGGCCACGACGCATGATGTGAAGTAATGCATCGAAATGAGTTGTTGAAAAAATCAGCTCACCGGAGAGTAGCACAAGTTGTCGGCTGAATACCACTTCCACCCTCGTTGACATCCTGTAAAACAGTCTCATCGGTTAAAAATTTGTTTTGTAAGATCGTTGCAAAATTACGCATTCTAATATGAGGTGTGCAAATTGCAGCATCCAGGTTGATCCTGAAAGTGCAGATGGCAAGGTGTGAAGGAGTTCAAGAGAGAGTGAGAGCGAGGTAAGACGTTTCGGTACATTAAGTCATATACGTCCTAACTCAACACTGCGATCATCAGTATGACATCTTGTTTCATCACTTGACGGTAAACACAGACAGAGTGTTTTACGCGAGTAGGATTGAGGATCGTCATTACTAGCTTTCAACGACAGCTGCTTTTATCAGCTACTATTCAAAGTTGGCCCTCCAACTGCGCATTGGCGAATGTCTCATTTCGTTGCTTACACTTCACAGCCTTTTTCCCATTCCCTCCTCCTCCCTCCCTTCCCCACTCTCTCCCCGTCCATCTTCTAGTGTCCCTCACTAACAATACCATAAACACTACACTGACGTGATCTAACGGTTTCGCCAAAGAGGAATATATGGGCAGTTAATAAAACTTAACTCTTTTAGAGCGCATAATTTGTATTCACTGACGAGTTTGTATACAAGCAACACGAAGCATACCCCTACACAGTTCCAAAATATTTTCTTCTACTAAAATTATGGTGTGCGAGCGTAAGCTTACTGTCTTTCTTCCTGCATCGAGCTGCTTGCTTAGCATCATAAACACATATAACTCTCCGCTTCCGCCTTATAGCCTTCACACTACTGCTACCAGTTGCTGCCTCCAAACAAGGTCTCATCTCGTTGCCAGTCATTATTTGTGTTTCCCTTCTTTATTCACGGCCCCCGAAAATTAAACCAAGCCAGGTTTTAGTAGCTGTTATTTTTCTCCAAGGCGATAAAGTTATTTGGAGTGAAAAACGGAATCTTTTAGCTGAGCCCGAACTTGGTGCTGGGGGCGTTGCAGTCGCAGTCGGCGTCCAAACAGGAGTTACTGTTGTGGTTGTTGTGGACGTTGTTGAAGATGTCGTAGTTGTTACTGACGTGTTTGATGATGCTGTGGTTATTGTGGTCGTGTTTGATGATGTCGTGGTTACTGTGGTCGTGATTGTCATTGTTGTTGTGGTTGTAGAAGTGTTTGGCTGCGTTGATATGCTTGCTGAAATTATAGTTCGCATTAAACTGAAACACAGGAGTTCACCATTCACAGTGTTTTTTAGATACAGGTATTCGTTACCGAGCAGTTAACAACAGCCGAGCAAATTGCATTTCGCAAAGACATTTCTTAATCGTTAGTTCAATTACTTCGAAAATTAGGTGTTGGTTAAAGTCTACTCCCTATTCATTTTTTAAGAGAGAAGAAAGTTAGATTAGAGAAACCCGCAAAAAAAGAAACCCAATATTTTCCACCTCGGGCCTAAGTAATTGTGTTTGGGTTGTATCTTTCAAAAGTTTTGATCTCTTGCGATTAAATATCAACATCAACAATTTTCTGGTTTTCGCGAATTGCATTTCGTTACATTCCCCATTTGCATCATGCTTTATCCTGAACGTTTTGTGAGATTCATTTTGCAAATTTACAGCTGTTTGCTCTCGACCCCACTTTATCATTTTTCATGCATTTTACAGCAAGCTGAAAATTCAAAATTCATGGTAATTTTAAACTATCATTACAGCATGTTTTCTGATGATTTCTGGAAGTTCACACGTTTTGCCTCATAGGGTGAGCAGTGTATATATGCTTACAACTGTGTTTCGGAACTGTTTCTTTGAACTGTGTTTTGGATTTATTTCTTACCTTCTGGCGTTGTCGTTGTTGTGTCGTACGGTGTAGTCAACAGCGTGGTAGTACCACAAGAACCGCATGTTTTGGGGCAAACACGTATTCGAATAAATGGATCAGCGCAGTTTGGAGGAGGGGATGATAAGCAGCGTGCGGGAAATGCATCGACGCATTCTAAAACATTCATCCAATTATGATTTTACTCAAAATTTTAGCTTAATTGGGTACTTTCTTGCAAGGCTTGCTTTCATGGGTAAACAAATGTGGGACTTGGAACTATCCCTTGTCAAGAATATCAAGGTCCTCCCGTACAGCGAGTATTGATATTAGTGATGTTGTTAGGAAGGCTCCCACGCATCAGGAACCACTTTATCAAGTGCTGGGAACAGATGGAAAGAGGCAAAAGGGTCGCTGGCCGGTTGTTTAGCTTGTTCGTTTATCATGCGTTTTGCATAATTAATTAAAGTATTGCGAAAACAAGTATGTGTGTCGTGTGTGCTTATGTTTAAAAAGACATTTCACCGGTAAGTTATTTCAAGAAACTACCTTCAACTGGTCCATGTGCTAGAGCAGCGCTACAGCCGCAAAAAAGAGCGAAAGTACGCAAAGCAAAAGTCAGAATTCCACCACACATACCCGATGATGCTTGTAAGGAAATCCGGGCTTTTCGGCTGCTTATATACAGATATGAGCGCATGTAAATATGACAACGTTTAGGATTAAACATGCTTTCTTGTTAGCATTTATGCTTTAAAAAGTCTCTAACATTCTTTTGGGTATTTGCATATATTTCAAAAAATGACTGCACTGTTAACTGATAAACGCCTTTTTTTTTGCTTATCTCTGTGTACAGAAGAGTGCTTGTATTTGAGTACCATAAAGTATGCCCGGATGCTGGAGGAAGAACAAAGTTCTTTGTGCGTTTTAAAACTATCTATGATTTTTGCCAATCATTTTGTTTGCATAAGGAAAACGAAATGCTTCCTTCATCAAATATAATATGCATACTGTAGTTCCCACTTTGATATTTCTTTCAGTTACATTTCGTAACACAGCTCCTCAGCAACAGAAACCCAGGCTGGAACGCACCGGGCGGGCCCGTGCGATCATGCGTTTCTGCACCGGTCTTGAAGTACTCGGATCATTAACTGCATGAATGATTGTTGCTTCACACCTATCTTTTGCGATCACTAGCATAAATCACTATTTTGCACAAAGTAGATGCACAATTTCCATTTAACGATCGTTCTTTAAAAGCAACCTAGTTGCTCAGTCAGATATTCAGCCAAAATTTTAAATGCCCATACGTAACAACCATGCGCAAGTCAAGGCCGAATTTGAAATACTTAAGTTGTACTTGGACAGGGAACATTCCCCTAAATTTTCAGCCTTCCAGCTTTTCTGGTTGCCGAGTTAGTAATTTTTCCGCAAGGACTTTCATAAGTCCTTACGCAAGTAACACGCATAGCTTGGTCTGAATTTGAAATCTCTGAGTTGTACTTGGACAGGGAATATTCTCCCATAATTTCAGCCCTCCAGCTTTTCTGGTTACCGAGTTAGCAATTTTTCCGCCAAAAATTTCACATTCCCGTACTTGGATACCCTAGTGCCTAGAAAGCTGAATTTAAAATTTTTAAATTGCACGTGCACAAGGAACATCAGCCTAAAATTTCAGCCTTCCAGCTTTTCTGATTGCCGAGTTAGTAATATTCCAGCAGAAATTTTCATACGTTCTTACTTGAGTACCATGCACAGCTGGAGGCTGAATTTGAAATATCTGAGTTGTACTTCGATAGGGAGCATTCTTCCAAAATTTCAGTTTTCTAGCTTTCCTGATACTCGAGTTAGCAATTTTCCCCTTAAAAATTTCATACGCCCTCACGTGAATGTCACGCATACCTGGGGGATGAATTTGAAATCTTTAGCTAGTACATGCACAGGGAATATCCTGACAAAGTTTCAGCTCCTTAGCTCGTGTGGTTCTCGAGATAGCTTTCCCCCCAAAAAATTTGCATATTTTTTAAAGCCTCCGTACGCGGCACCCAGTCGTCCGCGGGGGATGAAACGTAGGTTGGAACGCACCAGGCGAGCCGGAGCGATCATGCGTTTTTGCACAAAAATTGAATTAGGTTAATTGC